ACTATCTGTCTCTCATATCTAGTGGATTTCTGTGTTTGATCATTTCAGGGGGAATGGTTTGCTAGCTGTGGTTTGCACGCTCATCACTTGTTCCTCAGATATGATTTCCACTGCTAAAACAAGCTGGCATGTCATAAAGTGGATTTATATCCGGAGATATTCTTAGCGCCTGTATTTTGGAACCAGGTCACATCTACAAATGGCTGTTACATGGTTGAATGTATTTTGAGATTTTGAGCAATGTTCTACTAATGAGTGGACATTAATGTTTGCAGTTCGAAATACTGCAAATTAAATTGAAAAAATCTTATTTATTATTCAAAATAAGAGACTATAATCTGCCATCTTTTGACCAAGAAGAAAAGAACCAACACAATTTACAGACATACAGTAGTAGATGATTTACTTTTCCTCTGGATATTGCAGCATCTGTTGAAATCTCTGTGTTTTGTGGTTTAATCCATTTTGAACTGAAGTAGAAAAAGCTTAAGCAATTTCAGAAAAGCTAATAATTTTACTAAATTGTAAAAAATACAAATTATATGGAAAGGTTCCTTCTTGTTTCTGAGATCTTGACTGTAATATACCATGTTTAGCAACTGATATAATCAAGACATTATAAGATGGGAATATCCATCGGGATTCATATGGTTTATAAATGTCTTTTTTGGGTAACAGTTGTTACAATAATTAAGGAAAGCAGAATACTTTTCTAATTAAAAATCTGAATAGATGTTGGGAGGCATGGTGGCGCATTGGTCAGCATTACTGCCACACAGCACAGGGGCTCTGGGGTGAATTCCTGGGGTGCTGTCTGTGTGGAGTCTTTATGTCCATCCTGTGCTCATGTGGGTTGCTCTCACAGTCCAAAGACATACTGGCAGGTTAACTGGCTTCTGGGAGCAGTGGGTAAATTTGTGCATGTTTATGTCTGTGTGTGCCCTGCAATGGACTGGCGTCTCACCCAGGGTGTATCCTGCCTTGCACTAGTGGCCTGTAAGGATAGGCTCCAGCTCCCCTGCAACCTCTGTATTGGATAAAACAGGACTGAATAAAAAATGGATTGCTAACAGATGTTTTAGTGCTGCATTGCCATTTTGTATTGTGATGTCAAAACCTCAGCAAGGCTGGGCCAGGTCAGTACTGGGATGGCAAACCTCCAGTGAAAAGCCAGTTGCTGCTGGTGTGTGGCCAGTAGGGGGTGTATCACTCCCTGGATCAGGGTCTCTAAATCTTCAGCAGCTTATGGAGACCATGGACACTATGCTAAAGGAGGGTGCCGTCTTTTGAATAAGACACTAAACCAAAGTCGATTATTAGAAATCTTATGTCTGTTCATCGGAGCAAGGTGCGAATCTCATTCTGGGCTTGCCCACCCTTACCTCCTTGAATTCCCCATGAAAACCAATGGTTTAGCAGTTTCTCACTTCTCTTCTGGGTCTGCTGTGGATGAAAGTGGGGGGGTGAAAGGAGTCCCCTCTTATAGGTAAGGCGCCTTTTGATCTTACAGGCTGAAAAGTGCTGTACAGTTTTTTTTTAAATACTGCCTTCAAAAATACTGCAATCGTACGTGTGTTCAATGTGTTTATGTTTAAGCTGAAGCAGCTTATTGAATAGAAATGATTTGCAAAGAAGGCTTTGAAAATGAGCCTTATGAGAATTGAAAAATTGAAACAAAACTTTCATGACGTCTGCCGTCAATACACTGTGCAATCATATTATAAGGAACATCTCATTAATTGTTACACAGTTAAGGACAAAAACTGAAATGTTATGGTACAATTGTTTAAATTGTTGCCATAGATCACTTAGATGTGACCCTAACAGAAAGTTGTTACAGTCATACACTCAATGAGACACTCAGTCTTTGTTTTTTTAATTACGACAGATCATCAGTTTTCCCTTGTTATATAATGGGGATCATGGGGTTATATATTTTAATTGATTAAATAGACCTACTTAGCTTTGCAGCACTTACAGAAAATTCCTGACTCAGAGAGCAGCTGGCAGCCCTGGGATACGGCCAAGAACAAGGCAGCAGCATACAGTAGGTGTGTGGTCGGAGTTATGAGGAAAATTCAAATGTAATAATTTTCTGATACAAGTACTTGCAAGAATGTCTTGGATTGTTTGGCAAAAACGCAGATGAAGGCTTACATTTTCAATACAGTACAACCTGATTTATTTATATTCACAGTGCATTTTGTAAGCCAAGGCATTCCAGAGCACTTTAAAGAATTAAAAACAAAACAAAGCACAGGAGCAGAGTGTGCTCTGGCTACAGAATGCTAGGAAGTGTAGGTAATTTCCTTAAAATGATAGACTGCAGTTCCGATGCAGGACTGAGATATAAATGATCTTGTTCCTTTCGCTTGTCAATCAACAAAAGTCCAGAAGGGAGGCAGAGTTTGCTTTTTAAGATTCAATAAATAAAACCTGTTTTTCTTCCTTTCTCCTAGTTTGTGACCCCCAGTTCAACAGTCTACTGTCTCTTTAGGATCTGCTGGTGCTGCTCTAATACAATATGTAATTCCTTTTTTTTTACTACCGTAACAATAATTGTGTAACAATAATTTAAGTTGCACAGAAAATGCAAGTTACTGTCATCAGCTGGCATTTTAAGGACCAGCATATATTAAGCATATATAGTAACACATTTATTCAGTGAATAATTAATGGGGATGGACAATAATTGCAACTGTATCAAGAACATGTTTCCATGCTATGTGTGACAGTTTTCCGCGATGTGCGACTCAAATTAAATAGTTTCCCTTAACTGATAGGGGTGTTATGTTCCCTCCATCAAATTTTTCCTCGACTAGACGTGGTTGGTGAGAGTGAATTGCATCCAGGCCAATTAGTAGGATACTGACCATTTTTCAAACGTAACTTGCATTAAATGCCATTAAATTACGTTGGAAGTTTTCCAATCGGCTCAATTGCCTGCCCTATATAGAATACATTTATGTAAAAGCAATTTAGTCTACTATCAAGCAAATCAAGCTTTAATTACCACTCCTTGTAGATGCAGTGAATGCAACAGCTATAGTTCAGTAGCTCTGTAGTTATGTGATACTTTAGTGCTCCCTGCTGCCAATAGTAAGACATTGCTTTCATAACATCTGAGTTAGATATGCACACAGTTTAGTAAATGGTTAGTTAAAGGTTTATATAAAGGAAGGAAAACCCCCTTAAAGTGTTCTGTTCAACTGATACAAATTCAGTTTTGCTGAGGTAAATTCTTTGCTGGGCACATGTTAAGCTTATCTTCTTGGATTGCATAAGAAAAAACTTAGCATTAGACACATGCAGACACAAGTGATAAGTTTTGCATTTGTTTATTACAAATTGTAAGACCCATTGTACACTTTCTACCCAGGCTGATCCCAGGCTATTTGGGATCAGACGGTGGTTTTCCTTGAGTTTTGTTTGCTTGTACGATAACACAGCATCATGATGCTCCTTTGGCACTCTGCCTGACTCAGCATGTTTCGCTGGAGCTGGACTCCATGTTCTCACCTGCTGGGTTTCTAGGTTCATCACCTTCGACATTCAAGTGCGCTTCGAAATTCATAAGGCAGCACGTACAGTACCTTAGTGACATTTACTCGCCTTCTACATAAGCTTACTTAGCTGTCGGCAGTTTCAGTTCACCTGAAATGAAAATGGCTTGAGTTTCTCTCTCCGGTTTCACACGACGAGTGCAGCTTCCCCTGCCCTTGCCAGGATTCGAGCCAGTCCCGAGACAGAGGGCAACTCCTCCGTGACAAAACATCACGTCCTCTGCTGCCGCCCAGTTTAACACGGTCTCGACTCCAGAGGAGGGAGACGTCACTTCTGTAACTGGCTCAGCGCACAAGCCCCATTAAACTCGTGACACGGGCTTTTCTGTGGAAATCATGACTGTCACTGGCAAAGCCTCCGAACTGGGCTTACATTCCCTGTGACCTCCTGTGCACTGTTTACGCATTGAAATGTATTAGCAATGCAATGTATAAAATAAATCTGAATTTAGTCCTCTGTGTAATGAGCTGTGTTAGAATAAAGTCAGAAGACTCCCTTCCTAAAATTCAACATCCTTGTCCTGGAATCCATAAATCTATTAAATTCTCATATGTTGTGATGAACTGAGTAGACTGGAGTCTCTTGCAACAATTAAAAGACTTGAATCCAAGGTTGTATTTAGACTCACCAAATTCAAGACTGTGTTGCAACTTTTTTATTGCTTTCTGTTAGTACTCAGATTTGTTTCAATTATTTTCTTACTCATGCTAGAAGATTATACATTTGCTAAACTCCTTTTGGGTCATTTGTGTCCATTGAAAACTGTAGAGTGAACTTACAGAATGTAATGCAAACAGAAAAGCCTAAATTGAAATTGAAAGTTTACAAAGCACACATTGAGAAATCAAAAGAATAGAGGTTGTGATGCTACTGGGGGGAATTTAAACAGTGTTTGAATGAGATACTTGATTTTCTTTTAGTTATGTGACAAGCAGCTGATTAATAACCAGTAATTGTTATTTGTTACAAATATTTATTAAGTCCTGTTATGAGCTTCTTCACTGAGTTCTGTGATAAGCAGGTCCTGTTTGGGAATTATATCAAAAAGGGAAGCTTATGTCTATCTACAGGTGACTGCCAAATTAGACCAATCATCTGAAGATGTTCTGCTGACAAGATGTAACTTGTTTAAGAGAAAATGACAAAGTGTACCTACCTATTAAAACTAAAGTATCATAATTGCATTTATTTCAAGAGGTTAACTCAAGAAAAAAAAACAGCAAAAGCCTGGTTTGGCTTGCTATTGTTCATATCCAGAGCTTGTGCTTTTCACTGCTCAGTTAGATGCAGTCTCTGCTCGAATATTTATGACTCGAGCTGATTTGTTCAGGAGAGTGGAATTGTGGAAAGGAAAGCATGTGATCAGGATGGAAACCGGCACGATTTGATGCTCATATCTTCAGCTCCCAGGAGCATGTTTGCATTGCCCGTTGCACAAAAAGCATTCCCATGCAAGCTTCTGCAGAAGGGAACCCGGGGAAGCAACATTAGATTCTGCTGTAATCTCTCAGAGGGCATTGTCGGTCTCCGGGAGACAGCAGAGAGAGGATGAGAGAGAGAGGCAGGGAGAGGAGAGAGGAATAAAAGCAGCAAAAGGTGGAAAAATGCTGCTTCCAAGATGCAGAGCCGTGCTGTTCCTTATTCACAGTCAAGGAGAATGTTCTTCCAGCTGACTGGAGCACAGTGCAGCCAATCCGCTGCCTCCCTCTTCGCTTTGTCATCAGGCTGTGATTGAGGAAGGATTTGCTTTCCTGCTCTGTATTTGGAAGGCAGATAAAATGCCAGGTCTGGGTTGCCTCTAGGGATAACCTCACTGCCTTATAATGTGAATGAAGAGCATCTCAGCTTGGGGGATACACGTATAATTGACTTGCAGGCTCAGGAAAACCAGTGTAGGCCTCTTCTTTTTTTTTGGGGGGGGGGTGTCTTTTTTTTGGGGATCGTGGTCCCCCATCCATCTTTTGTGGTTCGTTCCTCAATTTTATTTTATTTTTTTTCATTTATCAAGAGGTGCTTCTTGGAATATTAGACCTCCATGTACGACAATTTGTACCTGCATGGATTCGAAGACTCGGAGGCGGTGAGTGGGGATTTTTTTTTCCTGTGAAAAGCTATGTTTCAGTAGGATTGCCTGTGCTGAGCAGGGCCGGAGAGAAGCTAGTGATGAGCATGGTGTTTATTACACATCTTGGTGGCTGGGAATGCTTATGTTTCAGTGTCACCTGCAGTAGTCCTCCATTTAATACTGTTTCGTGAGGCCACACATTTTTGAATGTGCAAAAGAGGCTGGAGGAGCCATTTATTTCTTGTAATAGAACCCTCTCCGACATGAAAAAGATTTAGCTTCCATTTGAATAGTATGTGGTCAAGAGACTTTTAAGTAAGGTGAGGTGTTTATATTTCTCAATGTATAATTTCCCCCTTCCTGTCACCTGTATTTTCACTGCATATTTTCTGTTTTCCTTTGCTGAAAGCTGTGCTGTATGTAAGGACATTTTTTCCTTGCTGGAATGCAGATGAATCCCTAAAGATGCCTCTAGTGCCTGCTGAAATCTAAAGGGATCCATACTACATTTACAGTAAATGCATCTTCTACAAATACATTAAGGTGTGTCATGCCTGTTCAAATATCAAACCATACAGCACTGAATATATACAACATTTCCACCAGTTTTAATATGCAAGTCCTTAAATAAGTGGTATATTTGGTATTGTAACAGAAAATATGCAATATTGTTTACAAAAGCAACAAAACAAAAAACCTTCAGATGTACCCATATAAGCAAAGTTATAATGAATTGTTTCTGCCTTTGTCTGGCTTCCATAATTTACTAGAAATTGCTAAATGAAAGCCAATTTCTGTCAACAACAAGGGCTTTCAGGGTGTTTTTTCTTAATTGAGTGAATTGTAATACAGTGCTTTACGGAGGATAGCTCGTGAGTTTCAGGAATCTTAAAATTAAAAAAAAACTGTTCAAGTGAAAGGGAAAAGGGATGTGTGTTTTGACTCTCCATAATGGGCTTCGCCATGCGGAATAGAACTATTTCTCCCATTTCAAGAGGTTGGCTGGGCATTTAAACTACTGTTTCTCCTCTATTACAAACATTGTTGGACAATATTTGTAAAGCCCATATTTGCTTAGCTCTTGTGGCATCATGAAGAAACATATCGTCTTTTAAAACCAATGTGCTGGTTTTTATAACGGAAATGTATACCATTAGGAGTGATGTAAATTATTTCATCCTATTTAAGAAACTGTCACAAAATAATATTTACTTAGGGATCAAATGGACTATTATGACCACAAAATCGTATTTGTTGACAAGCACATGTTCAGTACTCTGAAACATTTTAAATTAAGCTTCGTCAGGTGGAACGCCTTTCTTGAAATTCACTGTCTTGCGCTTGCACCAATTGTTACCGCACCGTCTTTACTGTAGTGATCTCTGAATGTTAAAAATATTGCTATGAATGTTTCGGATTCATTACAAAACCCATTCATCTTTTTCCTTGGTTCTCCCATTTTTCTATTCCTCTAGGACCAGGTATAATGAACAGTCTTCAGAACTTTGTTAAATAATTTGAAGAGCAAGATTGGTTTCCTCTGGAAACCTGGCCTGTTGGCACATGAGACAGGTACTGGGGTTTCATTGTGAAGACCAGGGATCCCTTTCTGAGTCATTGCTGAATGATTGTGAACTATTGAGTCAGTTCTGTCTCTCTTGTAATGGCTTACTGTAGACTGCACTTAGTGGCCATTAGCAGTTCTTTGTGTGCAAACATACCCCATGCTCACTGCTTGTGTTTTCTGCTGATTGGGATAAGGTGTGATCTGGATAAATGTTTGTTTTAAAACAGCAACATCTACTGTAAGAGGCACTACAGTATTGAACAAGACATGCAGTCCTCATAAACATATGTCCCGTGTTTTGGAACAAGTGACAGAGTAGCATTGAAATCTATGTCTCGGATACTTAAGGCATGGTTTATGTATTCTCTGCTTCAGATAACCATTTTTTAATGTTCCTGTTGAAAGCTTTTTTAAGCTTTTTATAGCTCTTCAAAGTCCACAGCAGAGCTTTTATGCTGGATCTTTTGAAAAAGTTTATTTAGACATCAAAACAAATGAAATAATTAATGTTGTCAAGGTACAGTATCGTTTTGTATTGTTTTATGAACAGAAAATCTTACGTTGATGATGTGGTGTAATTAAAAGTGGTGCATAACTACCAGATCCATTGACATTGGACGTGCTGCAGCTGATGAGAAGGGTAATACGGAGTTAATCATGTCAGTGTCATGCTGAGGCAGCTCAAATGAAAATCTTTTGACTTCATGTTCTTTCCATTGTCATTACTAGACAAGAAAACATGGGATTTGCCCCAATAAATATCAGTAATACAGTACAGTAATTAAGAGCTCAGATTAAACAAAAACAAGGTATTGTAGAAGACTGGGATGCTTTTACAAACTTTCTGTCTAATTTCTCAACAGGGTTTAAGTCAAACCTTATCGAGAAAAAAACATTTTGTGTTACCCAAAGATTAGTTTTACATTAGAGGGGCTCACACTTTGGCAAAGTGGGGTTTTGTATTTTCTTTTCAACCTATATGGATGTACATCATTAAACGTAATAACAATTCAAAAAGAAAATTTGACATGAGGGATTGACAGTCATTTAGTAGTAGAAGATGACTAATACTGTAGTCTCTCTAGAATTTCCTAAAAAAACACACCCTTAATTAATTTGCTATCTCGAAAGTTATGAGAAGTCTTTGATAACTCATTGTAGAGTATGTAATAGTGAAGAGGAGAGTTTTTGTAATAGCAGGTCTGGGATTATAATTCCTACCTTAACTGGATTTGTAATACAGGTATGTTAATACTGCAGTGTCTAGTGTAAATGGATTCAAACTTTGTTTTTTAAAGTTAAAAAAGTATTCAAGCGTGGTGGCATTTTAGGAGTTACTTTTTAGGAGCACAGGATTAAATCAGAAACAACTCCCTGCTCCTGTCTCCTTGTTGTTGATGTTGTTTGCCAGGAATAGACTCTGCATTCTGATACTTCAGCAAGCACTCAAAATGTACAGATTAGGAGGTATGTATTTAAAATCACTCCATTTTTATTTAGGCTCTGAGAAGCTTCAAATTTTACTTTTTCTTCCTGTAGCACCTTGCTCTTGCAGTGTTTTGCCATTTAGCTGCTGTGAAAAATAGACTACCTAACTGAGGCAACAAAACAATGGAATAATTGTGTCCACCTGAAGACTGATCAAATTGGATTCCTTTTGTAGTGGACAAATTATACAAAATGTATATAAAAAAATTATACAAAAGACAAATTATAACATAATGCTATTTTTAGGTGTCTAGGTGTATATTAGGGATGTATGATCCTTCTGATCGTTATGACATTCATCCATTCGTTTGCTGTATGCAGGTGGGAGCTGTGCTCCAGTCTGACTTGGCAGGGCTTTGAGATACCACAATATATGTGCCAAAAAGGTACAGCACAATTGGTAATTATTTCTCTTCCTCTCTTTTTGTGCATTAAAATAGTTTTCTCTTTGGCCAATCTGAACAGTTTTTAGATGTGGTTTGAATTCCTCTTTGTGTTGTTTTGACTAATTATTATCCATGACTTAAAATGGCACCAGATTTTTCTCCTCCATTTCCATAACAGGTATGTTTCTCTAAATATAGATGGATACAGAAAGCACTGTGATGTGGGCACTCGACAGTGAAATAGAATCACTGTTACCAAAAGCAAAATTCTGTGGCACCTTTCAAACAAGATCATAATGGTCAAGAGCCATTTCTTGAATGTAGCTAGAGTATTGGTTTCAAGAATGGGGTGAATAGACTGTTCCAGACTCCCACTGCACTTTGTGTAAAGGCATGCTACCTGTACTTAGTCCACTCTCCTTTAGCTTCCACTTGTGTCCTCTGGTTTGTATTGCACATGTGATCATGAAACATCAAGTTTGTATAACAAACACTGTCTCACACAAAACCAGTTGGGGTCATACTGACCTGGAGCACAAAATGGAGGGAACAGAACTGACTTGATGCTTTCAAGTCTGCCTGCTGACACAGATTGCTGACTCTAGTACCCCAGTGAATTGTCAGTCTGTCCTAAGGGGAGGAGATTAACTGGGGGTTACACAGAACGCATATCATTCATTGGAAAAAAACACTAAATTCGTTCAATTAAAACATAACAGCAGACTGTTGTTAAGACTCAGCAGAATGAGCTCCCACTATCATGCTATTCCTGAGATGAGGCATGTTTGTAGGACTTCAGGAATTTCCTTCTGCGCCCAATCAGGCTGCAGAAACTATGCTGGTTAAGTGTCATTATTAAGGACAGTACTTGGCTCTCAAATATGCAAATGCCGCGTTATACTTAAAATGTAACCCTTCATTGCCCACTCCCAACACCCTGAGATCATTATTCACCTGTGAAAGTTCTTGTTTTACCCTCAGATAAAAAGGGCTCCAGAAAGAATAATAGATGCCCTTGTTACTAATACAGATGCCTAGGCGATAGGCACTGTGGGCCCTGTGGTGTGATCATGAGGTCCAGGGATTGCAGTATGTTGTACAGATAAGGACTGGACGAGGGCTGTTATAAGAAACCACCAAATATGGCCTTGACCCTTGGTTGCAAAATCCACACAGTGAGCTAGTTCACTGTGTGGAATGTGTCGAAAAAGTCTGCAATTAGTAATCAAGGGCTGGCAACCAAATTAATGGAGAGATGGAGTAGAAATGTTAAAACCATGCAGAGGTGCGAGTGATACTGCCAGCGCAAGCATTCCTGCCTCGTGACTGATGGGACAGCCCTAGCAGTCATGAGTTGCAGAGAACAGTCGATAGGGGAAATATGAGTGGGTCAGTGATCTTTCATGAAATTAAATTAAAACATCACGACCATTTTAAATGTATTTTTTTCAGGGCCAGTAATAGATTAAACTGGCATTTAGTAATTAATTTATTGATTTGAGAGTGTGTTTTTCTTTTTGTGTTTCAGTGCTTTAATTATATCTAGAGAGGGTAAAGTACCCATAGAATATCGC